TTTAAAAGCACATTATACAAATATTTTTAAAGATTTAATAAGTACTAACTCACAAATTCTTGTAAGACTCAGTTTTTAAACAATTGTTTTAGAAATTTTATTATTCGAAAAATGTGCAAAAAATTAAAAATTACATAGTCCATATCGCAAGACGGTAAAGATGCGCAGGAAACATTTTGAAACTGATGACCTGATAAGAATGGACCGGGTAAAGCCGGTAAAAAGTACATCAAAATATAGCAACTACTCGTTATGGCAAGTAGCGCTATAAATATTAATTTCCTTTTAGTGCGGAAATAGTCCACAATGAAGCCAAATGTTGGTTTTGCGATAAGAAATAAAATAGGTAAAATTGCTGTGATGCTACCCATAATTAATGGTGAAACTCCGAGTTGCTTGCCGTAAACTGGCAGAAATGGCAAAATAGGACCCATAGCTAAAATAAAAGTAATAATTGTAATGACATTTATGAATTGTACTTACACAGAAAATTTGTGTTAAATTTAATATATTTCATGTATATCCAAAGATTCACTCAAATTTTTGTATTAATTTAGTACAAGATGAATATGTTAGAAAGTATCACAAATGTTATATAAAAAATCTAACATTGGCACAATTTGTAAACATTATGAAAACATTTTTTTTTTTTAAATTAACATTTATGGTATGTTAAATTAACAAGTATTTTATTTATTTATCTTATAATTTTTGCATTTAAAAATACATTAATTTTCTATTATTTGTTCACTTATACAATTACATTATTTTGATAGAGAAATGTTGAATATCAGTTTAACTTGAAATATAGGTATAAATAACATAATTACATTATGTAAAATTAAAACTTGAATATGTTAAAAATTCAATAGAAAAATTTAACAAAGTTTTAAGTGGATCGTCTCTAACAAAAATACAAAATGTTTTTCACTGTGTAATAATACATATTTTTTATTATAAATTGTTAACAATCTATTTTCGTATAGTTAATACTTTCGTATAGTTATTGTAATATATAACTATTGTTTTTTACGTGATAAAGATATAATGTTTCTAGAGAGTACACTTATATAACTGTTTTCTTAAATATAAACCAAGAATATTTTTATTACTTTTTAAATAAGAACCAAAATATATTTTTATCACTTTTAATGACAGTATGTTACAATTATTTTTGTTTATATATTTTTCATAAAATGTATAAAAAATAAACGAGGATCTTAAAAGTGAATAAATTTTTAAAATATGAGATATCTAAGATATTATATATTTTCTACTTACCGGCCATAAAAAAAAAATAATGCGTCTTTATAGGCAATTGTGTATAATTAATTTTCATGATTTATGTTTATAAATATAGGCAGGTATTGATAATCTCAGCAAATTTCGTATTTCACTGCTTTGGCATTTTCGTATGTTCAAATTGGTCACATGCTGCAAATTAATAATGTTAAATTTAATAATAGACTTAAAAATAACACGTAAAAAATATTTTCCAAATGTATACATTACACAATCATGATATACATTCATATAAAACATTATATTTAATATTTTCTCATAAAAGCTATCGTTAGTGCTATACACGCATTTGAATATAAATTATCTCGATCGACTACAATATATCGATAATCTCGAAATATTACTTGCCAAAAATACATTCAAAGTACGAACTTCAAGTATATGATTCCAAAATGGCTACGTCAAGAGTATCATTCGCAAGCTATATTAAAAGTCAATATATGTTTCAAGCAAATTCAAAGGTTTTTAAGAAATTAAGGTACCCGCGACAAGAGTTCTCACTCGTTCACCGTTCATTTCATGGGATTTCGTCACTTATCATTCTCTCGAGCAAGAGAAACCATCGATAAACTCACCGTATATTTAGGCTATCTATAATTTGATGTTAGGTTCTTACTCCAACAATGTTTCGTTTGTAAAGTAAGTCTCTTAATCGTTTGATAGGCTGCATACTCAATGCAGATATGGTTTCAGTGTCGGAGCGACAACACGCGCAACTATGTGTGTATATGTGTGCCGAATTGATGTGTCAGTTTTAGATGTGCAGCTACACTTTCTACACTTACGAGATGAGATACATAAGAATAAGTAGATATTCAGGTTTCGACGGAACAGAAACAAGAAGCTGGAAGACACACGAGGAGAAAGTAGCGAATGCAACTAAAAAGCTGCTGAATATGCTGACCGTACACTGAGGAAAAAATTGTTCATTAGATTAAATTAATTTAATTTATTTTTATTACTTTCAGTGGAATGTATGTATTTAAATATATTATATTTATATAGTTAAACATTTCTCCAATGAAAAAAATAAAGACAAACTAAATTAATTTCATGTGAACATTTTTTTCTCAGTGTACTGCTGTTAACATTAATATATTTTAGCCATTTTTAAATTACCAGCAGATTTTGGCATAGCCTTTAGAATTGAAAGAATATAAAGAATATGTTGGAGCCGAGAGTAAAGTTAATCTTGCATTCATGAAACCGAATCACACTGATTGTTACGCAAAACATTATTTTGATAAAACACTCACAGCTCCAATGTATATGTGACATGCATATGAATCTAATAAATCATTCAATTACCGCATTGTACTTCATCGCAGGGGCGAATTCAGAAATTTCTCAAAATATTTTAGGGGATATTGTCGGATTTGTATGCTATTAAGTTGCAAAGTTTCTCCAATTCATGTATCAACAAAATTAAAAATTACAACATTTAAAAAAATAAAAAAAAGAAAATATCCACAGTTCCCATATCTTTCCATTCTTATTTTTAATTTACAAGAGAAAACGGAAAATAAGAGCCGCAGCATAGACTGTTGCATAACGCTGCATAATACGATCTATAATAGAGCAGTAAATCTTATAAGTCGTAAGAATCTAGGAGTTTATTAAATTAAAAAATATTTATAGCAAAATGTCATGTTACTTTTAATATTTCTGAAATACTTAATCACAATTTTGATATTCCAAAAATATTTATTAAATTAAAAAATATTTTTGGAATATCAAAATTGTGATTAAGTATTTCAGAAATATTAAAAGTAACATGACATTTTGCTATAAATATTTTTAAGAAAGAAGACATCCAAAATGGGGGCCATGGCTCTCATCGTGAATCCGCCCCTGATTTATCGCAAGGAAAATTGATAAGACGAATATTTCACCAAATGTGATGTCTACAATAAAGCAATAAGTTAAGCTGTAAGAATCTAGGAGTTTCTTAAATTAAAAAATATTTTTGGAATATTAAAAGTAATATAACATTTTGCTATAAATATTTTTAAAAAAAGAAAGGCTCTCATGGCCTTCATCGTCCATCCCTGACTTACCGCGAAGAAAATTGATAAAACGAATATTTTACCATTCGTTTCCATACAGCACAGACCTCCAAGGGACATCCCTATGTTTTTTAAACATTTTAAGAATGTTCCTAGGAGTTTCTCGGATAAAGTGTGCTGTAGGGGAACGAATAATAAGATATTTATTATTAACCTTGGATTCATTTGATTTTTGTAGTGTATTGCTTACTAATAAAAATGAAGAAAAATTATCATAAAAAATTACATTGTAATAAAATCAATTTTAACTGTGAATTGATAAAAAAGACCTGAGATTACGAAATCCTGAGATTATATCTGACGATAATATAACATCTTGTACATTGCAGCCTTAGATAATGATGATAACGATAAAATTGTATAAAAATTACATTTCTCGTACTAATTTGACTTGGCGTTATATTCGTTATGAAAAATCATAAATTTACGAATTCTGTATATTAAGCACTACAATACTCCAACCAGAATGATGTTAAAAGACAATATTATATATCATTTTTTTTTTTTGGTCTATTAGACATTAATCATTAAGGAAAACGTGACCGTTACCTAAAATTACATATATCATTACCTATATTATTTACTGTTATCTCGATCATTATATAAATAATGCACTTTTATGCCTTGTAAATTCTTTGAGGACACATATATATAGTGTGACACATTTTTAATTCTTAAACCTTTATAATAAAGTTTGATAAAATGTAAATAATAATTTGCCTGTATTGTCAGTTTACCGTTTATCGTTTAGAATTGTCAAATAATTTTAAATTATTATAATAATATCAATAATTCAACTCTCTATATTTTATTCTAAAAGTTGCAACTACAGCTATATGTGATGACATTGACAAAGAATAATTTTACATTAAAAATAATTTTACATTTAAAACGATACCGTTGATAAGAATAAGATAACAATGCACTCCAGAAGTGATGACATTTCCATTAGTCTAGCTTCTATAATTTATATTGAATTGTGCTATGTTTTATATATTATTCTTTATATTATATATTATAATTATGATAAAAAGACTAAAAATCTATATCATTATCAATGATTATCTAATCTAATAGATTATTTGCAATATCAATTTAATATTGTTATCCTTTAAAAGGATCCTATCAAAATGTAATACAAATCATATTTTAATAAAAGTTTGTTTATACAATTGTTTAAAAAATTATCATTAAAAATTTAGTTAAAATAGATCTAAATTTAGATTTAATCCTTTTTTATTCTTCTGTTAATTTAATATATTGAAAATATTGTTCCATTCATCCTTTTATTAATATATATAAGATAAAAATGTTCAGCAATATTTTTTCTTACTAAAAAAATAGATTTTTTTTCTTTATATCCCGTTTCATGTAAGACATAAAACAAGCAATGTATGCGTGTGTGTATGTGTGTGTGTGTGTGTGTGTGTGTGTGTGTGTTTATCCTTAATAAATCTTAAATAACCTTCACTACATAAATTGAGTAAAGATTAATATTTATAATATTATGTATAACATGTATATTTTCATATTATTCATATATTTGTAATGTGTGATTTGCATCAAGTTCTTATATCATAACATAATATAGGTACATAAATTATAAAAATTTTTATAATATATTATTATTTATTAAGAAGGTACATATGAAACATGTTTATAAGAAGATACATGTACACACTTTTCATCTATAATATATTCTCTATGCGCATCATCATGTTTCTTCCATTCAACTTTATTTCGTGTATCTGTAACAAAAGGGAAGTTTTCATACTTTCATAGTCAGAAAAAAAATTACAGTTCAGCAAATCGAATTACTTGATTCCTTACCTGATGTACGTTTTATGTATAAAGTATATAATATAATATAAACTAATGCAGAAAGTATTGCAAGTCCTGAATATACTCTTAGAGTTCTTTGGCCACCAATTTTTCTGAATAAGAAGCCACCTAAGAAACTACCAATCGCATATCCTAAGGATATTGCAACATTATACATAATAAATAGTTAAATTTATAAAAAAATGTATAGATACAGCAAAATCGTAAATACAATTGTTATATAACAAATGTGAAACGATATATATTTATGTATATGTTGGATAGCATTTATATCTGTACTGGAATTCATATTACTTATCCAAACTTTTTTCATTGTGAAATGATTCTTGATATCTATTTACATAACAGAGCGTACCAAGACCATCCTTTGTGCCAGTCGCAATTGCTTGAACAGTAGCTGATGTACCAGGTGGTGATATTATGCTTGCATATGTTACTATTGTTGCATAAAGAAGCGCCAGTGATGGCCCTTGCAAAATAACTTCTATCAAAAGTACGTGCCATGGCGTTGGCACTAGAGATAGCAATGCCATCCTCAACGCATAGCATAAAAAGCAAAATGTAAGTGTGTAATCATATCCAAACTTTTCCAATATTTTGCCTTGAATTCAAAATATTTTGTAGAACAAAATATTTCAATTATATAATAATTGTATAATTTTATGTAATAATATATGAAAGAAAAAAAATTTAACATTACCAGACATAAAGTAGGATATTACTTTGCCGAGCAAACCTGAGGATAATGTTAGACCCTCTATTAATTTAACTTTTTTCATATAACCGGTTGCCATAGCAAGATCTTCTATATACCTAAAAATTAATTACTAAAATATAATGAATCCGATATATAGTTCTATGTTTAATTATATAAAAACTTAACGAATATACAATTATATATTGATAAAAAAAAAAGAATTTACCAAAATAAAAAGTTAACCATGAGACTTTCAAAAATGCCAGCAAACATAGCAGTACATAGAAATATAATAATTGGTACTAATTTTAAAATTGCATATACATTTTTTAATATACTCGGCGATTTTGACAGTGGTAACTGCAAAGAAGATATTACATGATAATCAAAAACATAAAATTAAAAATATTATACTATTGTACTATTATCTTTTTTTCTTCTAAATATATAATATACCTTTAATTTTCTACAACATATTAAATCGATAATAATAAATACGAGCACTAAAATAAACGCTGGTGTATAAGTTTTGTAAACTTTCTGTTGCGACCATAAATCTATTGTTAAACCAGACAGAAGTGACAAAAGAGAAGAACCGATTGTACCCCATAATCGCTGTCTGCCATACCTCATTTGTCCATCTTCACCTGAGAGATTAAACTTTATTGAAACATGTTTTTCTTCTATACATTAGATTATTTATATTAATATATATTATAGAATGTTTGTGATCTGATAGGCAGATACAACGAAATAGAAATTCTACATAAAAAAATAAGTCGAAAATATAAAATAATAATTTTTCATCTCAAGTTTTGTTTTCGAGAAAATCAATATTTAATATTTGCCTGCTGTGATTCTGGCGGAAAAATTTTATGAAAAACTACTATAGATTGAGACAAATTCTTAGAAATTCTTAGTTTTTTATAGATATTCGTAGTGGAACGTGAAATGACGTTGTTTGATTGAAAAACCGAGAAATCCTTCGCCCTCAAACAACATATTCTATGTGTCCTATTACGAATATCTATGAAAAACTACGAATTTCTAACTATAAGACAAACAAACCTCACTCTACATCCTATTACAAATATTTAGGAAAAATTAAGAATTTCTAAAATCTTGTCTTAATCTATGTAGGTTTTTGTATTTTTTTGTAAACATTTTTTTTTCGCCAGGGGTGTACACTTAATTTCCGACTTAATGGATCTCGCTGTAGACTATATCTACTTATGTTTGTGTTATTATGTTGAATAATCGAGATTACGATAAAAATAATATATTTACGCACGATAAATTTTATAAATTAATCGAAATGTTGCCCATTCTGTCGAATATACAATTCCGCTCTTTGAAATAAATTTCTATAAAATTTCAAAATATTCTGGTGCTTTAATTTATTAATTTAATTTAATTTATTATGGAATTATTCTTTTAAATTTTAATACATGGAAATATACTATAGACTTATGAAATTATTTACCTAATATGTCGAAGCAAATAACATCACTTGCACTGAGGGATATATGATAACCAATTTCACCCAAAAGCATTAAGATAACAAAACCCCAGAAAGTAGTAGATGTATATAAACATTGATCATCTTCAAAATTATCACAGGTAACGTTGCAATTATAATTCGTTGTTACATTTCTTTGATACAACGATGCTTTATTAACATTTAATAAGCATGTAGTGTCTGATGAAATAATTGCTTCTTTGTTGGGTGCATGAAAAGATAATCGCATGGAAAAATTCATATCCTTGCATATCCAATGACACGTTGTATCTTTCACACCGTTACACAATAATATTGTTGCACGCTTAAAATTAAAGAATAAATAATATTCTTAAATACAGAGTTAAAAATACGTTTTGTGCTAACAGTAATAATTATGTATTATTAAAATTTCAAAACTTCTAACAAGTTAGAAATTTTTTGCTAGAAGTTTTGAAATTTTGAGACACCTTTATATGAAACACCTTTTGATATGTAATAAAAAATTGAATTTTGCAAAAATGAGATTTTTTGTTTTACAAAAAATTAATTTTGTATTTTTTATCAAGAAAACTTACGATTACAAGAAAGTAAAAACTTACATGGTTTGTGTCACAAGGCAGTAAGGAGTTCCAGGAGACATTTTGAAACTCATGATCCGGTAGTATTGGACCGGGTAGAGGCGGTAAAAAATACATTAAAAAGTAACTTGCACCTGTCATGGCGAACAATGCCATAAAAATCGCTTTTCTCCATTCAAGATAATAATCCGCGGTATAGCCGAGTATTAGTTTACCGATAAAGCTTGCAATAGGCACAATCGCGATAATGCTACCCATAATTAATGGTGAAATGCCGAGTTGTTTACCGTAAACAGGCAGGTACCTCGAAATGGCACCTGTAGCTAAAATTTAAAATTTGTAATTATATTCACAGGGGTATTTGATAATGTAATCTATTAAATTAATATGTGTAGGATTTATTTTTGTAGTTATATTAAATACTATAATTATAGTTATTTATATTTTTTTTAACCATAAGATAAATATTTATAATTCTTCTTACAATTTTTTTAAATATGATAAACACATTTATAACTATATATATATCTTCTTTTCTAATTTGTTTCTTAAAAATGATATACAAATATTTTAGAAAATATATTGTATGAGATGTTACATATTTAATGATTACTCACCCGCCATAAAAAAGAAAAAATGCACTTTTATAGGCAATTCAGTGTAATTAATTTTCATTGCTTATATACAAATTTAATCGATCAATAAATTTTATATTTAACGTTCTCTCATAAAAAAATGTACTAAGTTAACACTGCGTTCTGAACTGCAAGTGAAGTGTAACAAGACAATTGTTTTAAGTAATAACGTGCAACAATTTTGTATTATGCAATAATACATTGTAAATAATTATTCTAAAGTAAAGTTTATTACTTCGAAAAATACTACTTTGGAATGCGATAAAAGATATAAAAAGTAATAATTTGCATTATATGGACTCTATAAGTGAAAGCAGTAACATTGATGTATGTATACAAACATATATGTGTACATATGTATATATTAGATCAGGGAAAAAGTTTCTTCATATTTTTTAACTCAAAATTGTATATACAATATTTTTGTTAAAAATGAACGAAATTTAAATTTAAAAAAAGAATTTTAAAGCTTGAAATCTCTACTTTCGAAAGATTACTATATTTTTTGAGTTTCTGTGAGTTTGGTAATTTTTACATTTTAAAAAATTACGAGCTGAAAAAGATGAAAAATTTTTTTTCACTTTGGGGTCTCTTACGTGCTCAAAAAAAAATTACGAAAATTTTCAACTATCTATCGTGAAAACTTGAAGCTTTCCCTCAAAATCATTTTTTTTAACGTTCTTATGATTTTTTGTTCCTAAGTTATTCGCGAGTTAAATAAAGGAGCATTCTGACTTTGATTGCTCATAATTCCAATAAAAATCATCATACCGCAATTTAAAAAACAGATTTTTAAAGTTGAAACTTTGCTCTAGCGAATAATATAATTGTAACGAAAATGTCGCAACAAATGAAAAACTTTTGCAAAAAAATTTTTTTATATACGTAGAAACTCTTTCCTCGACCTAATATATAAACATTTTTGTTCTTGTTCTTTTTACTAAATTAATATATATCTTTTAATCATATATCTAAGTACTGACACAAGTTGTCAAAATTCGTTGCATTAACAAAGAGAAGAATGAATATAAGCTGCACTTTCTGTAAAGCATAGTACAGGGTTGGCCATATTCGACGGAAAGATGTTTTTTTTTTCAATCATGGGAAACGTCGTTACTCGATCTAACATTTCTGTTAAAAGTTACAGTTGTTGCCAGATCTTTCCGTCGAATATGGCCAACCCTGTACTTATATTTAAAATTTATTAGTTTTTCATATTAAATGTAATAATCCTTATATACCTAAAACTACCATCTAGAATATTATCTAGAATATTAACTATTATCTAAATTATTATTACGTGATGCATTTTTTAGCCTTGTAAACTCTTCTAGGACGCATATACATCATATGACACTATATCATGTACACACACTTTATATTGTCAAACAAAGTTTATGATAAAGTTTGGTGAAATTACATATATATATATATATATTTCATATTATCATAAATATATGTATATGTATAGAGATTTGTTTTTATATTATATTAGACTTTATCACATTATTTACAGTTTATTTGTCAAATATTTTAAAATTATTATTATATTAGTAATCAGCTCCAAAATTTATTATAAAAAGTTGTAATTACGGGATATATAATGACATCGACTTTGAATAATTTTACATTCAAAGCGATTCTGTAAGAATAAGATAACGATGCAGAAATAATGATTTTCATTTAGTTTGCACAATTTATTTTAAATTTGTAGTATATATTCTGGTATATTTTTGTATATTTATTAACATTAATTAGATCAGAATCATTGTAATGTATCGATAAAGTGGTTAAAATCGAGATTATTATTACTAATAATTGTTAACATATGAGTTACTAACAGTATCAGTTTAATATTTATATATTATTATTTATAAAAGTATTAAAGGACCCGCCCAAATCTTATGGAAATTAAATTTCGGTCGAATTGCCTGAAAATTTGATATGTTGTAGATCTTATCGTCCTGAAAAATCTCCACGGGCATTATAATGAATCATTTGACCTCTACGAGGCGTTATTTTTCCAAATGGGTTAATATTACAATATCTTATTTTCAATAATGATGCATTTCTACGTTATTATTTGTTCTTTCTGTGTATATTTTTAAGTAAAAAAATTACAAGGATAATATTGACTCAATTGTTTCTCACAAAAAAGCTATAAGGATATCGAGATCGATAACATGAAGAGATTTAAGTCACACTGTGTTGCTTCACGTCTAGGGCGTGAAATTTTTGGCACGATTATGTGACGCATACGAAGAACCGCTGCACGTTTTGTTTATATTGAGTAAACCGTATGCCAGTCGAATTATTGCTATCTCATTTTAATGAACATCCGACTTGTCACGCAGCGAATCTTTGTATGCATCGAGATCGTGGTTGAACTCCTGCGACCTATTCTTCTCAGAGCTACTCTTTAAATCAGTTGTTTTTATAACTATTTATACTATTAGTTCTTATCAGTTAAATACTTCTTTCTTGTAAGAAAATTATATTTTTTTAATAATAAAAATTCATTTTTCTATTGAATCTTGTAATACAAAATTTACAATAATCAAGCATTGTGAGAAGTGAGGAGACTCACAATAATCAAAAGCACTCCGATTTGTGAAAAACAATCAGGTGAATATTATCCTTACAACTTCTTACTTAAAAATATAATAGAAAACATAGAAAGTGCAAATAATGTAGGAATGCACCGTACACGTTGAAAATAAGAAATTGTAGTATTAATCCATTTCGAAAAGTTACGCCTCGTCATCGTTTAAAAGTCAAAACGATTCATTACAGGAATTGTGCCTGTGAAAACTTTTTATCAGGATGACAAGATCTAGAACGTATTAAATTTTCAAGCAATTCGACCGAAATTCCATAAAATTTGTGCGGGGTCCTTTGAAATATAAATATCATATTTTGAAAGTTAGTAGACATAATTGTTAAGTAAAGTTCAATTTTAATGCTATTTTATTCTTCTAAATGATAATATTTAAAAAAGTTCTCAACTAGTTCTTTTTTAAAATATAAGATTAAAATATTTAACAATATATTTTTTCTCATTACAAGAAAAAGTAAGATGATTTATATAAAAATCTGTTTTTACTTAGTGTTTCTGGAAATCGTTGCATATTATGGTTTTTTTAATTAAATACTACTATGTCTAGAATATAAAAAAGCTTTTCATTTTTTTACAATACATTAAAAAGCATTCGAGCTGAAGGAAATCGTGCATATATGGAAAAACTCTTAAAAAACTATCGCGTTACATATTTGCATCTTGCAGAACAGCATAAAGTAAATATGCATATAATTCATTAAAAATATAAATTTATAAAAGTTATAAATTATAAGAAATAAAAAGATTCTTGAAAAATCTTATATATATTTATACTTGTAGCTGAGTATTAATTTACCGATTAAGGTTGTAATAAGTAAAATTGCGATAATGTTATCCATGATTAATGGTGACACCAAGTTTCTTGCAGGTACATATATTGAAATGGCATCCATAGTTAGTAATAAAAGCTACAATTGAATTCACGAAGATATTTAATAATATAATTTATTAAATTATTAATATATTTATATACCTATGACTTATTTTTAATGTTTTTGTAATTATCTTAATCTATATTTTTTGACCGTAATATATATATTGTATTATTTGTAATATAGTTTTTCTTGATAATATGCTTTTGAGACTTTCATGAATATTTTCCCTTCATAGCTTTTTTCTATTATAATTTTTTAAATATTATAAATGTCATTTACAATTATAAATACCGTATATGCATCTTCTTTTTTCTACAATAACGTGTTTTTTAAAAACTACGCTTATTGACATTTTGAAATTAGATATAAGAAATAATATGACATGCCTTGTATTTGATGATTACTCACTTGCCGTAAATAAAAAGTAATGTACCCTTATAAGCAATTCAGTGTAATAAATTTTTATTACATATATGCAAATTTAATAAGTTTAATAAATTTTGTATTTAGTATCCTCTCGTAAAAATGCACTAAGTTAATGATAAGTAGCTCCTTGAGCTACAAATCAAATGTAAAAATGAAATTGTTTGAAGTATTCAAGCAGAAAAATTTGTTTTAACAATTTTGTATTACGCAATGATATATTATTTTAAATTAATATTTCAAAATAAAGTACGTCAGTACTTTACGTGATAAATATTACTTTGAAAGGCGATAAGAGATAAAGAAAGTATCTTATTTAATTTGCAGTTATTATGTATAGATTCTATGTACAAGTAAGAGCAGCAAAACAACAAAGTTGCTCATACACAATTATGCATAAATTTATACATAATTATAAAAACAAAGGTTGTCCAAAAAAATTAAAGCCACTGCTGCCAACTTTTGAGAAACAATTTCCGTATCCCCGAAAAACAATAAAGGTCTTTAATTTTTTTGGACAATCCTCGTATAATTATTGTATATATAAAATTATGCATAATTATGTATGAGCAACTTTTTTTTACATTTTTCCAAATTTGTTTTTCGATAAAATGAACAATGCGAAAATAATCTCTTTATTTATTTTTTATATTTTCACATTACTATTATTATTTCCATTACACTAAAAAATAACTTTACAAAAGATAGAGGTATGAACATGTATGGAAATATTTTATATATTAGGTGTTGGAATTAATTCGTAGCGTTTTTTAATGAAAGAATGTTATTTATTTCACATGAGCATTAAAAAATACATTAATGAAAGTACTTCCCATCACTTGTAAAACGCTACGAATTAATTCCAACACCTAATATAATTATACACATTTTTAAATATTTATGTATGTTTATACATATTTATACATATTCATGCATGAAAAATTTGTTATCGGGTATGTAATGGAAATTGTTTAAAATTTTCTTTTAAGTTATGCATATCAAACATGCTAATCGCTACGTAAAGTATGAATTATGATGGAGAAGTTTGTAATAAAGCTTGATAAAATCGCTAAT